TATTTTTTACATAGTTGAGAACTATCCCTGAGAGACTGTCTATCTTAGGGAAAAGCTGGCATGTCTTTTTGCATCACAGGTACCCAAGGGACACAGTATTTCATGGAACATGCCATTCATACATGCAAGTGTTTGCTCTGGGGTTCCACTATGTAGGCATGTGGCTGAATAAACCTGCACTTGGTATTCATACTTTCTTTAGGATAATCACTCTTACAGCTAGATTCTAGAATATCAGCTACTTAAGGTGGGGCCTGGCACTGTTGGAGGCTTCCTGTTACCTCTTATTTCAAAATGCATAATGATCCAGGAATTTTAAACAAAATAAAGCAGTACAATAAGACCACCACCACTCTGGCCAGGCGTGGTGGAACATACCTAAATCCCAGCTATTTGGGAGGTGGAGATTGGGAGGATTGCAATTAGAGGACAGCCCAGCAAAAGGTTTCTGAGACCTTATTTCAACAAACAAACCTGGTATAGTGGGGACTTCTGTAATCCTAGCTATTTGGGAGGCACAGGTAGGAGGATCATGGTCCAAGGTCCTGGGCAAATGGGTAAGACCCTACACGAAAACTAATCTAAAACAAAAAGGGCTGGAGGTATGTTCAAGTAGGCTCTGAGTTCAAACCCCATTCAATAATAATAATAAAAAAAGATAAAACTACAAGAAAAAAACCCACAATTCTCATCACCACCTGCTCAGTGGACCTACCTACTGCTGCCTGGTTGTGTCCCTATGATGTCTTCTGCTTGGGTATTTCCTGTAGTCTAATGGCAGCTGCTTTTACTTTCTTAAATCCATCATGTTCCTTGGATGACAGTTCTCATCACCACAGCCTAAGAGAACTTGCCAGTCTCTCAGATCTTATTTGTAACTTTCAAGTCTATCTGAGTAGGGCATTAGGATTAAGCATCACCCATGGCAAGAACAAGCCATCACATCCACACTGGAGATTTTATCTAAGACCAACTTAAGGCCACACATTGTGACCTAGTCTTAGTAATGTGGCAGTTACCATCTCCATTCTTCTATTCAATAATTTTCTGACAATAGTATTGTCAAACTAGCTTTCCAACTCACACTCCTTTGTGTTGGAAATTCCTCACTGGAAGTGGTAATGACTTAGACTCCTTCAGAGGGGTTGCTCTTCTAATTAATGTGCCAAGCATCCCTCTCTGGTGTGTTTGCTTCTTTGAGAATCACTATCCACAGAACAGTTCCTGGGTATCTCAGTAACTTTAAAATATGAGCACAACTGGTTGACTTGGAGGACTTTTCTAGATGACAAAAATGCATCTGACAAGGTTCTACATCTGAAAACTTGGCCTATCAAACTGCAATGAGTTCCAATAACTTTGACATGAGACTTTTTTTACTTTGGAGAAGGGTAAAGTGGTCCATGGTTTGAGTTTTGTTTTTATCTTGCTTTGTCTTACTACAAGACTACACATGGCGACCCTCCTGGAGAACTTTCATGTTCTTCCTAGTTTTATCTAAGTCTATAATACTTACAATTATTATGAAATATAACCCTTTGGTTTTAGCTTCCTTTACTACATCTTGTGTTCTATCATCTGATTCATAAACATACATGCTAGTCTGTGTTCTTACACTATACAAAGATGTAGATTGACATTTATTGAGCTCTTATAAATTGGGTGCCATTGTAATTAATGTATCAACTCACTTAATCTTCACAACAATCCTGTGATTTAGGTCTTTGTGTTATTCCCATTTTAAGAAAAGAAATTTGAGGATCAAAGAGATCAGTTAACCTCACAGCTACAAAATGAAGAAGCTAGGATTCAAATTATGACCTCTGGTTCCAAGGCTATAAGGATAACTCCTTCCCTACATAACTCCAACCAGACCCTTTGAGGCTGGAAATCTATAATTCATCAATCAAAAGTGAATAAATTCTGAAATACAATTTTGAGACCCAGAAATTAAAGGAAAATGGCTCATCTGGTCCCATTTTTTTAAATGCCTGCTTTTCTAGGCAGCCCTTGGATTTGTTAATTTGTTATTTTTCCCATGCTATAAGAAATGCTATTTCTGTTTAAGTGCTGCTGGATTTGGAAGCTGTTCTCATGACTAAATATTTGTTTGCTTAGTAAAAGTGCAGGGTAGGGCTATGCTGCCAGTGGGTGCTCAGTAAAGATTAATGGATGGCTGGGCTGTGTGGGAGCTGTGTTCTTAGGGTCTGCTCAGATCTTCGAAAGCAACACAAAAGGTATGGGGAAAATGAAAAAAAGTCACAGGTTTGCCACCAACCCTGACCTTGAGTTTCCAGATTGGCCTACACAGGTTGAAAGGTCTCAAAGGCTGACATGTAGGAGTTGGAATGGTGTTTTCTTGAGGAATAGTTGACAGAAGCTATGAAAATGAGATTCCAGGGCCTTTCTCAAGACTAATATCAAATATGAGAGAAAACTTGGTTTTCCGATGAAGACTGCAGAAAACCAAATATTTTTTAATTGACACATTTTCTATTATTACATACATATAAAGAGGATGAGTAATATGCCATATCAGATGGCTTATTCAAACTGTCAGAATAAGAGCTGAAGTATGAGTAACTTTCTAAAGAGCCTTATGTGAAACTTGAATAATAGAAAATGACAGTAAGCAGCCAAACGTTCATTTACTACCAAGTCATCCCTGAAAATCTTGGGGGATCAAAAGTTTCCCCCAAACTGCATGGTAGGGTATTTGTAGAGGAGAAGAAAGGAGACTAATAACTGAAACCTATTTCATTAAGAAGTCCAATACCCATGTGCTACCCAGGTATATGCACTTAATAGAAAGTCTGGGATCAGCACTGAGGTCTGGGAAAGAATGCCTTCATTTTGAGTGATGACTACCTTTTGAAATCTCAGTAGAGTTTTAACAACTTTGCTTTGGCATCAGAGAATGTAGAAGGAAAGCCTCAATTAGTAGGACAATTACTCATGCTGAGGTGGGATATGTTAATATTGTGTAGAAGAAAATGGCCCAGCAAACTCATTGACTTGCTCTGACTCTACTCACAGCTCTCTGCCTCAGTCTCTCCATTTGCATGAGCAAGGTAAAGACTCTTCAGGATCCATTCTATCACTAATAGTTCATGTCCTCCTTCATGGGCAACTCTCTAAGATAAACATTGTAAATGGGGAAAGTCCATGTTTCCTGCAGCTTTTGATGAGAATTTATTTATATAGTTCTACCCTTTAAAAACTACTTTTCAACACTCTAACCAGACTCTCCTTATGAATTTTGATAATTTGGCATGGTAAAGAAAAGTTAATTTAATTAATACATAACCCTCCATCACTAACACCTTACCTTACTACTTTCTCATCCAAAAGAAAGTTGACTTTCTTTAAGTAACACAGAAGGTGTGTTAGGAAAGTGGTATATGATGGACAGGAGAGATCCTACTCTGTATTTGTTGCTTAAAAATGTGAAATATCTTTTTATAATTATGTCCATTTATAAAACCATGCACATTTATAAAACCACTACCCCAAAATAAAAGTTAAAGGATTGAAAAGTGGGAAGGGCTATTTTCCAGTATAAGGAGCTGAGGTTTTACCAACATCCAGATAGATGGATAGACAGTGTGGACCCCTGGGCACCTAAGTGTTCACTATCCCATGAAAACCTCAAGGAGCCATTGACATTCCTCTGTGAGAATCAATGAATCTCTGTTTCCTTCTGTCTGCTCATTTGACTTTATTTTATTTTGAATCAGAATATAAGGAAAGAAAGAATCTAACTATTGGGGGGAGGTTTGGTGGGGCATAATGAAAGGGATTGAGGAAGCTGGAACAGATGTCTGTGCTGTGGAGCCCACAGACAGGATCACAGGCTGCTAATGGTCACCTGGGAGGTATTGTTTACTTGTTGTAGTCTTATTTGTTCTTGCTTCTCATTCCAGACTCTCACCCTGATGTAATAAGTAACTGCCTTGCCAGCATCATCCAGTATTGACAAGCAAATGTCACCCATGTTTGATTGACATCCATTGCTCCTGAATGCAGAGGTATGATTTAGGAATCAATTCTACTTATTTATTTAAACCTGTTCTTGTGTGTCTTATATATTTGTTGGTGGGATGACTTGCCTAATACCTACTCTTGGGGCTTTCTATTAATATTCTAAATCCGAGCTGTTTCTTTTACTGGTCCACGACCAATGGGGGCTCTTCTTTGTCATATTTTTCCTGTTTCCCCCTCCCCAATGCACATCTGGGAAATCTGCTTTGGAGCTTAGAGAACTGTCTGTGCCTTGGGAAAAGATCTTGCCCAGCACTGTAAATGACGCTTGCTTTATTGTAAGGCTTTTGAAGGCATTCTGACAAGTGATTATTTCTCATGCATGTAGCACCTTTAAGCAAATGCAACTTGAAGTCCAGTGACAGTATCTTCCGAAGGGCTGCTGGAATTGTAAGCCTGTAAGTGGAGCATATATGTGTATTTTCACCCTTGTGCAACACTTGGGGAAAAAAAACCCTCCCCCTTAGTGTGGTGGACCTGTCCTTTTAAATCATCCAGAAATGTCCTTTGGTTTTTAAATACACCTTACTGTTCTCAGGTTAACATCTTATTTCATTTAGAAGGCTGGGGAGGAAATTCTTAAGGTTAAAAAAAATTCATATGCACCATCTGGAAAATTCTAAAGGGCCCTCCTTATGTTAAAAGTGGCATTTTCAAAAACATCTGAAGCAGTGATTTTGGGTGAGCCAGTACAGAAATATTGTCAACCAAGCCACCTTCCTCTCAACCTTCACCTCCACCCTGCAAAAAAAAGAGGGGGGGTGCTAACAGTGGGGAAATAGGGGACTTAGGTGTGCTCCTTGAGTCCTGAAGGCTGTCACACAGCTGTCTCCCTTCCCCGAAGTGTGTCCAGCTAGGGTACTGCCATCACCTGGATTAGGCAAGGGAGTATTCAGGATTTCACTGTTCATCCATGTGCAGAGGGAAAAAAAGGCCGAAAAAAAAAAAAACCCACATTGTCAGAGTAATGCCAAACTCTCTCTGAGTGGGATGAACAGAGCAGATGCTGCAAAGAGATGCCAAAGCGGCTCCCCTTCCTCTGTGCCTTGGGTTCCTATAAATTGCTCCGGCGCGCGTTTGTCAGCCTCCTCTTCTCCTGGCAGGTGGTACCCAGGCAGAATTCTGCGTTCAGCCTCTCTCGCTCGGCTCCCGGCCGCGAGGCGCTCGCCGCTGCTCTTAGCTCCTTGGCTCCGGCTTTGAGCCTCTGCGATCCGACCTTGCCAGCCGCAGCCGCTCCGCGCACCCGGGGGGCGCCTGGCCTGAGCTCGCTTGGCCAGCGCAGGGCTTTGGGGGTACGCCTCTATTAGAGTTGTGGTGGCTGCGAAGGAGGAAGAAAAAAAAAAAAAAGGCAGGAGACAGGCGAACCGAAGGAGCGAAAGAAGGAGGAGGCAGAAAAAGGCAACTTCAGACGGAAAGTTGGTGCGAACTGGCGCAGTCTGCAAAAACCGAAAAGTCGATCGCAGGCGGCGGCGGCATAAAAGTGTGAGCGGCCCCGGCGAGCGCAAGAGGCGCGGCTGGCTCTGCCCTCCGGGTGGCCGCGCCGGCGCCCGCGGCAGCCACAGGTGCGAAGGGGCTCGCAGGAGGCGACAAGGCGCCCTGCGCACCCCTCCCCCAACCCCCACCCTTAGTTCGGGACTTCAGCTCAAGTCACTTGGCGCCCAGGCTCCCTCCCCAGCCGCAGCCTCAGCCGGGGGGGGAGCAGGAGCCGGCCAGGAGCGGCCAGCGCGCGCCGGCCCAGGGGAGTTGGGGTTCGAAGGGGATTGTTTTCGGCTCTGAGGAGGTCACCGCCCAACCTTCAAAATTTTGTCCAAAAGCAGACAAGAGGATCGCCCCGCGCTGAGCCGGCTGGTGGGCAGCAGGAGGCGCCTGATCGCCGCCGGGGCGCTGGGGGTGGTGATGGTGCTGCTGCTGGTCATCCTCATCCCGGTGCTGGTGAGCTCGGCCGGCACGTCGGCGCACTACGAGATGCTGGGCACCTGCCGCATGGTCTGCGACCCCTACGGGGGCACCAAGGCGCCCAGCACCGCCGCCACGCCCGACCGCGGCCTCATGCAGTCCCTGCCCACCTTCATCCAGGGCCCCAAAGGCGAGGCCGGCAGGCCGGGGAAGGCAGGCCCGCGTGGGCCCCCCGGCGAGCCCGGGCCGCCGGGCCCCGTGGGGCCCCCGGGCGAAAAGGGAGAGCCGGGCCGCCAAGGCCTGCCGGGCCCGCCCGGGGCGCCCGGCCTGAACGCGGCCGGGGCCATCAGCGCGGCCACTTACAGCACGGTACCCAAGATTGCCTTCTATGCTGGCCTCAAGAGGCAGCACGAAGGCTACGAGGTACTCAAGTTCGACGACGTGGTCACCAACCTCGGAAACCACTACGATCCCACCACGGGCAAGTTCACCTGCTCCATCCCCGGCATCTACTTCTTCACCTACCACGTCCTGATGCGCGGAGGGGACGGCACCAGCATGTGGGCTGATCTGTGCAAAAACAACCAGGTGAGTGCCGGCAGGTAGCGCGGAGGGCGGGGAAGGAGCGCGGGAAGGTGCAGGCGAGAGGGAGGAGACCCCGGAAATGGGGGTGGGAGCCCGCGGAGGAAGGGCGTTGCAACCCAGCTCCCGGGAACAACAACGAGCGGGTCCTTGTGCCACGCTGGAGAAGCGGGGGTCGTACGAGTAGGAGAGCGCTCCGCGGCCGGGAGAGGGTGGTTCTGGAGTCACAGACTCGCGTTCTGTGCGCGCGTGTGTGAGCACGACTCTCGAGGGGCGAGAAGCCGAGAGTTTGGTCCTCGGGACGATTAGTGCACTGGGGGAGTCCTGGCGATGTAAAAGGCCCCTGGCCCTGGTCTCCTTAGCAGGATAGAATCGTTTACAGGCTTTCCAGGGAATGGGGAGGGCTGGAAGAACACGTAATGGGCGTGTCAGGGAGACCAACTTGGGGGATTTAGTCCAGGGCTTCAGGGAGAAAAAAAGAGACCCGAAGGAGTGAGTGCAACGTGGGCGCATCCAGGGCGGATGCGGGACTGTGCGGCCCGCCGGCTCTGGGCACTTGCTGACTCCCAGGCGCTGAAACTCACAAATGTCAATTTCAAGACGCAAACTCGGGTTTAGTTTTTAGCGAAAGAAACGGGTTTTCAGAGGAAGAAGGTGAGAGGCAAGGAATGCCAGGAAAAGAAAAAGTTAAGACTCAGGGGTTTACACTGTGAAAGTCAAGCAACACGCACCCAAACACGGGACCCGCACTCCAGTGACTTGGAGTAGGAAACGCACAAGATGCTGGCCAGGAAAGTGGTGGGTTGGAGCTCAGCCCGGGGGCGACCAGTGTCATGGAGCTCCTGCGAGAGGGTTTTTCTAATACCAGTTTTCTTGCTTGCACAAGGCAGTGGCCATGGCCTTGACTGTAACATAGCCTCTCTTGAGCTCTGACAAGCAGGACTTATTGCCCTCCTGAGATGATAGGCGCTGCCACCGGTGCAAAGGGTCTGCAGTGTTGCACTTAGGGCTACTTTACCCTTTCCTGGAGAAATTCAAGATCATTGCAAAACTGGAGCATGGTTGATCTTTAAGTCAGAGAAGGGAAATAATATTTGTAAGTATCTAAAAGTGTAATCGGACCTTCTGTACCTACTAAGTCAGCAGGCACAACAGGGGTGAGGCCTTGCAACTTGCAGCCTGGGGTCATGGCTGAGTTGCTGGGTTTTAACATTGCTTACAGAGTGGCACAGGGAATGTCCCCTGGAGAGACCTCATCTCATGCTGCAACTGCAACTTTGACTTAAGAAGGGCTATTGGACATTGGAGGTCATTGCCCGCCTGGAAATTCAGACCTTCCTAGCTAAACCCCAATTTTCTACTAAGCACCATTAAACAGGATTTCTTTCCAAGATCCAATTTCTTGTCAGAATTCTCTCAAAAGTGAAAGATAAATGTCCTGTATATATGAGAGAAGTTTTTTTTAAAAGTCCCTTTCTTAGAAATAGTTTCAGGGACCCTCAGGACAATATAGAACAAAAAGAAAAAATGGCCACCAGTAGGCACTGACGGGGTTGTTAATTACAGTTATTATGCATGAGAATAATATTAAGAGAAATAAAAAGTATTTACAGAGCAGTGGGGTGGTTATAGGAAAATGGCTATAAAGGGCATGACTCACGCTACCAAAATAGAGGCATTGGGTCACTCTAACAAAATGGTTCATGAAAGCCCCTCAGTGGGCAGCCATTATAAATTGCCTCTCTTTTGACTCAAAAGTTAGGCCTCGAAAGTACTATTAGGCTGAAGAGACTTTTTTCCAAGGTATCAATTAAAATGGACTAAGATTCTAGTTTTGGTAACAAGTATAAATATTGTCACATTTTTACATATCTGGAAATTGCAATTGCATGAAAAACCAGGAAATCGTACACTTAAATTAGTTTAAACATTGCTGTCTAGACTGCAGAGCCTGAGTATATTACAGTGTTCCAAGAAATCCATTTTGTATGGGAGTCCTATGTGCATTTTGTTTTAAAAATTATTTTATTGTTTGGGGGTATAAACTGCTTTTTTGTATATACATTTTATGATGATCAGGCAAACAAAGCAAGTCAGCTGACTTATAATATGAAATGTTTGTCAATGGCAGTTAAGCTTCTACTTCTACAAAAGGTATGCAACAGGTAATTCAGAAAAAAGTAAATATGTATAGGTAAACAGTATATTTTTGAGTTCAGTATGGACTATTTTAGAAAATGCTTATTGCAATATTACTGCTAAGGAGTTTTTATCTCTGGAATAGAACTATTATGTAAAGTTTGATCTGCAGCCAGTTACAAGTGGGAAATCTTATAAAATCTCTTTTTATTAATTTTAAATAAATGCTTTATCCTAGATTTTCAATTATACTCATGTCTGATCACTTCTTAGAATGGCAGTTTCCCCTCTGAGCTGACCTGATTTGTTTTCATAAAACAGAAACTCAGAGATCCATGTCAGTGTAATGTTCTATGGATTAAGTGGATTTTGAGAAGCACAAAAATTAAACAAAAAGAAATGCAGTTCACTCTAGGAAGGAGCAATGCCTCTGGACGGTAACCATATGAGAGCCATTTTATTTATGCTTTGTGTTGAGTGTAGGATCACAGATGGAAACATCAAAGGCCAGTAAATTAACCTGATGTGCCACTTAACCTTTTGTTTATGATTCCACAGAAGTACAATGAAAATGAAATTATGAGAACATCAGCAGCAATTAACTAAATTAGCAAATGTTACCATAAATATTGTCTCTAATGATAAAACCTCAATAATTAGATATTGCTAAAACTATATAACCTATCACATCTCACAAACATACAACTAAAAGGACCATAGTTGTCGATTTCCCCATGAAACCATCAACCTAAATTTAATCTTATTATTTGTTGAGAGCACATGGCAGTGTATATTAAAGGAAAAAATTGGACTCAAATGGCTTTACATAGATACAGAAAGAAAATTTTAATGTTTGCATACTTATGGTTGAAAACCTGAAAAATGTTGCCTGAAAACAATTACTATCATGCCACTATAATAAAAACTAAGCTGGTATAGAGTTAGAACTAAAAAATGATTAAAGACCAATTTTTTTACTTTTAAGAATTTATTAGTTCTGGCACCAATGAACATGAACTTTATTGGAAAGAATGAATACTTTGTGGTTTGATATTCATTTATTAGAGAGATTAATGACATGTCCAATTAATGATCTTTTTAGGGGCAGTGAAACATGGAATAAAGATAATGCAGAATCTATATAGTTAGCATAAGAAAAGACATCAAAGCAAATTTAGATAGAAATAAGTATATTAGGCTGAGAAAAGGATGTATCATATTCCTGACACAATGCTAAAATCAGTGTACATTTAGGAATCTGAAAATAGCCTGCAGGGTGAACGCATTACCTTCCTCAATAGTTTGATGGCTTGAAGGAAGAATTGCTGAAGTCACTGAGCTGGATACTGGAGCTCAAAATTTCAAGTCCCATTATACTTTCAGAGTATGATCAGGTGAGCAAGCATACTCAAATCATTGAAAGATAGCAGTTATTTAATTGGGAAAGTCTTATGGTACAGTATAGGTTAAAGTCTTAGAGAATTACTTTTCATTATAAAGCAGTCTCACTGGCTTTATCCAACAAAGGAAGTGAATAGCATAAGGGTACCCTTCCAGCCTGTGGAAACACTTTAATGCATCTGCACAGTTTTGTGGTTACACCCACTGAATTAAAAATGGTAACATTTGCTTGGTTTTGTGGTTTTACCTTATAGAACAAAAGCTACATTATATATTTTTATAAGATTAAATCTCTAAAAGTGATTTAAATGTGTCCTGGTTCCCAAATGCTTTCATATAGACAACAGAAATAAAGGACAATACCTATAGAACATACATGAACTACTCAAATGATTGAATAAAATGTGGGTCTGGTTATTAATGATAGGTGCAAAGTATATTAGGTATGATAATGTATTCCTAATACAGCTAATTACTATTTTGTATTTTAATTTTTCTCATCCATTAAAAACCCACATGTTTAAAAAATTAAGTCATTATTATGATAGTCTCCCTGTGCAGATTTTTCCCCCTGGGAATTAATGGCTAGATGAAATTAATGAATCAAAGCATCCTGCTTCTACAAACTGATGATTAATTCCTGGGATATATTATGAAGTTCAAATATATTCTATTTAATGGTCAAAACAGATTACCTCACAATTGGTATATACATTTGAGTCATTGATCCTCAGTACAATTACATGGCATATTGCTTTCAGTATTTTAATGCTAGTTAGAACAGTGTTAGCAATTCCAAATCCTTTAAGCCTTTTTCTATGTTTGCTATATGATACCAAGAAAGAAAAATTTTAAATACTGCTCAAATTACTTTACAAGTTCAGCAGTGTCAAAAGAGCCTTCTCCTTTTTTAACATTTCAGCATTAATGTGAGAACATATCATCACATGAAAATTTAATTTGAAAACCTATCATTTAAATTTTGAAAGGAATGCATGAAAATTCTTGGCTTATGTCTCATTTCTCTCATTTTGCCAAGTGATAAAATCCAGCATATTGTACCCCAAGTCATGCATTATTACATAGTGCAGGTTTACAAAACCACTAAATCACTTGCTGTTTTTCAGGGAAATATCACTATAGTGAAATAGAAACAAGCCACAAAGTAGATGTGTTACTGAAATAAATCAAATACAAGTCTGCCTATTGAAAGATTTTCCAAGGCAGAATCAAATATATGTCTAAATGAATATGCAGTCTAATTTGGGTAGAGAATGTGACAGAATGTCCATATTACATGATATGATAGTCAATTTGACTATTTGCAAATGTTTATCAACTCACTAATGAGACTTCAGGCTCAGCATATGCATATTATAAGCAACCTCTATCCTCAAAGCAAACCACATGCTTTGAACTATCTAAATAGAAAAGCACATTCAATGACGTCATTAAAATTCTAGACATTTGAGAGACTCAAGTCAGAGAAATCAGTTCCTTCTATAACTTTCAGATCTGTTAAAACCATATTGCTGATTTAAGTGCACAAATAATTAAAAGGCAAAAAAGGGACACAAATAGAAAAAAAACTCTGAAAAGATGAGTAGAAAACCCAAAGATGTTTCAATGAGTTATTCATTTCATGTAACCTAATAAAAGGGACTTTGCTTGTATTAGATTTTGAAAGCCCCCAGTCAAAGGCTATCTTCCTTTTTTTCTTCCTATATTGTATAGGAAGAAAAGAATGGTATTTCCCTGGGCCTTTGCCTACTTTAGATCATAATCTTCTAATAACAATGAAGAGCAACTGAAGTTAAACTGAACTTCTGTACTTATACATAGTTGATTGGAATATTGCTATTTGGCTTAAATTAAAATGCAAAACAGTACTATTATTTCCCTTTCAAAAAGCATTTGGGCATAGCAATTCAAAGAATTAGAAAAAGTAGTGATGTGGGAAGAGTTTAGATGGCTATGCTTTGTTTACAGTGGTAATTACAAAATGCTGCTGGAACTTTCCTTATTTAAGTACTCTTTTTCTCCCTTCCTTTCCAATAACACGGTTGAAAATTACAGAACTATTCTCTCGAAGCTGGGAGGCCAAGGTGGATGAATCCAGCTACATTCTCTGCTATGGTAGCAAGTCTGCTTAGGATACTGTGTGAATGGCAAAAAGGGAAACTTGAGGCTTCCTTCCTGTGAGCTCTAATTCTTGTCTGTTTCACGCAGGTACGTGCTAGTGCAATTGCCCAGGATGCTGATCAGAATTACGACTATGCCAGTAACAGTGTGGTTCTCCACCTGGAGCCAGGAGACGAAGTCTATATCAAATTAGATGGTGGGAAAGCCCACGGAGGAAACAACAACAAATACAGCACGTTTTCTGGATTCATTATTTATGCTGACTGATAACACAGAAACTGAGCTTGTTGTTCTGAGTTTGAACACTGGATTTGTATGGCTAACGTCAGTGAATCAAGGATCCCAGGGGATGCCGATTCAGGGCACCTCAGTTGTGTATATGCGGGGAAAATCAAATGCTACCTGACTCACATCTGTATCACTCAGAAACATGTAAACAATATTTAAAGCAAGATAAGCAGATGTGTGATCCACTACCGCCAAAGCAAATTCTCCTTATCGTTAGTGTCCATGTGAATGAAGTCCTATATAGATCACAGATTTTTATAGAAAAATCTAAGACACTGAATTATTTCTTCAATATATATGATACTTTGGTGTACTGTGATCTTGCTGCTTTTATCCATATGTCAGCTTTGGTTCTTGTGAGTTTACCTGCTTATTATACTTGGAGTCCATTCATAGTGTGGGGAAGAATCATTTTACCCTGCAGTTGAAGGTTTAATGGAAGGAATGCTGCTTGTCCCCAAAGAAGTTTGCCTTGTACTTTGGTTAACTTTAGAGCTAGACCTGGGAATGAATCAACTTCAAGCCTTAACCTGGAATTTTCTGGATTTGTGGGAATTCCCAAGCCTGTGATCATTTTCACATTTTCCTTTTCTTAGGAGTTTTCTTTTCTCTTTTCTGGTGATAGTCTTTAAAAATAGAGATTGAAATTGTACCATAGGATTACCCTCTAAGTGTGAAAATGTGTAATTATGTACGGTATTTAGAAAATCCCCTATGTGTCCATTTTGTCAGTAGAATACATTTAGATTTACTTGGAAAGTCAGAGAAATTTATTCTTTGATATTAAATCAGACTGAAGCTTTTGCCGTCATTGGAACAAAAGATTATTCATAACCCAAGGCATAAAGGTTTAATTTGAGCAACTGCATGCATCACCAAGGGGATACTAAGTAAGGCCTTCAAACAGTTACTACAAATCTGTGGCCTGAGGTTATTCCAAATTAACAATTTCACATATAACCAACATGACAAAAATGTATATATTTTATATAGATACCTGGCACTAACACATATAAACATATTTATATACATAGGTGTTAGATGAAATATGTATATGGCTTCAGTCCATGAGGCACAGTGGCTGCAGAGCCTCAAAAATTAATTGAAGAAAATCTATGTGTACTCACACACAGAAACATTCATAAATGATGTGACTTATTTTGGATTGAAATATATTTTAGATGACAAAAATATATGGGGTAGCAAAATAATACAAATGACTTCTCTTTAAGAGTTGTCCAGAAGATTAAATCTTACTAGGTTAAAATGCCCTGTATTTCACACGTTTGTAAGTGAAGCCTATTACCATTTGCCCATCAATACCATAAGTACATTCTCTGGGAGACTGTTAGTATCAAAAGCAGAGAAACAAAGTAGCTCACTTTCACAGTGTTTATTAATTATATGCATTTGAGTTATCAAATTTGTCTTTTTTCTCAGGTGGATTGAAGCTGACAGTAGATTTTTGAAAGCAGTGCAAACCCTTTCTCTCAGGTTAAAACATACTGCTAATGACCACACAACTTCTGCTATTACAATGAAAAATCCATTCCCCTTTCGGTTGCCTGTGAAGGCTCTTTGACAAATAAATTTCAAAAACAGCGATTTAAAAATCTGCCTGTTTTACTGGAGAAAGATATTTGCATTTTTTCATTGAAAGGAATTGGTTCCTTCTCCTGCCTCATTCCTCTTTGGTACTTTCTGTTCTAATCTACAGAAAGCGTGATCATCTTTGATCAGCTAAAATATCTTTAATTTAGCAAACTTCAGCTTTCTAAGAGTTACGCTTGGTTTTCCCATCTGAAGGTGGGGTTTGCGCTCTTTAAATGCCTTGGTCTGAGTAACCGTCATGATTTATGGGATAAAAAACACTTAGTCCAGTCATCAGAATAATGATTAATTCTAGTTGGCCTTTCTGATATGTAAGATAATTCATAAATGAATTAAAATAATTCCAATTTCTATTTAACAACATATATTTATCAAAGAGGACCTGGCAGCAAGGGATTGGAGATTTGTTTTAGGTACCAAATACCCTAGTAAGGATTCAATCAAAAGATTCATTTATAGACAGCAGGGCACATCAGTTAAGAGTTTTAACTAATAGTTTTTAAAAAGACTCCATTTACACAAAATATCAGGGTTGGATACCTTTTAAAGAGTAGGCTGTAGAATTAGACTGTCATGTTCAATAGATCTGACCTTTTCTTTAGACAAATAGCATTATTTTCTCTAATTAGGCCTGAGGAAAAACAAATAAAAAGTAAAGGAAATAAAGGGATTTTATATATATATATATACATATATATATAAGTATTATATGTATATATATGTGGCAAACATTTCTCTTTTTTTGCATTATATCTTATGAATTAATTAAATTGTGGCCTTTGTTATTATAAATGTAATGATTCATTAAACTATATTATGTAATATATTTTGAGTTTTATGATTGAATTTTTATAATTTAGATTGCTATGTATTCTTATACAAACTTTGCAAAACACAACAAAATTTATAGCAAAATATGGATACCACAAAGCCAATGCCATCAAAACTGATCTATTACAAATTACAAGTACAAAATATTTTTTTTCCTGGTACTTGGGTTTGAACTCAGGGCCTACACCTTGAGCCATTCCACCAGCCCGTTTTTGTGACGGATTTTTTTGAGATTGTGTTTTATGAACTGTTTGCCTGAGCTGGCTTCAAATCATGATCCTCTTAATCTCTGCCCTTGAATAGCTAGGATTATACAGGTGTGAGCCACCGGCACCTGGCCCCAAAATATTTTTATTGCTGTGAATTGGTAATTATATTACATTGTCATTTGGAAAAAAAGTCTCAAAATTTAATTTCTCTTGCTGCAAAAACTATTTTAAAGTGCCATATTATTCATTAAGCATTAATTAAAGAACAGAAGGATAATTAGTAGGATCATCAATATTACAAGAAATATTAGGATTGCTCTAGAAGAGGGCAATTTAGCTAGATACACTTTTAATTTTCTCAAGCAGTGCAGTTGATAGATTAGGAAAACCCGAAACAACAACAACAAAAAACCTACTCTTAGGGGATACAGATTTTAAATCATTGTTTGGAAGTATGCACTTCTGTATTTATTTTGTTAAGGCAAAAACAATAGGGCTCACTTAGGCCAGTAACTCCTTAGAGGTGAAAATGTAATAGCCAGTTTTAGAGAAAACAAACTCTTCTATTTCTCATTAGAAGGAAATAATCAGTCAGTAGTCCTATGTGGCTCAGATGAATATCCCACAGTGGGTTTGAAATCACTCAATATTCACTGCCGAGTTTTATATTCAAGGTGTAAATTCCTAAACAACTAACCTACTTGAAAGTTAGCCATCGCTTAGGGTTTTCTATCAGTATCTTGTCAAGTACACTCTGAGTTACACCTCTAAGTAACATTTTAGGAACAATGTTGGTGAGTATATGAGAATAGCCGTGACCTCCATATTTCATCAGTCGATGCTTTGTGTGAATGTCATGTGCCATCAGAATTCGATCTTGGTAGCCTTCATCCACCAGGAAACGCACCCTGTGGAAAATGTTAACTCATTACATGCCATTTGTTTCATATTTTAGATTTTCAAGATGATTTCAACTTTTTATTCATAAACCTATTGTGCTTATCGTAAAGATATTACCTTCCACTGTGGCACGTGTACAGAAGACCCTTAATAAATATTGTGTGGTGATTATAAAGGTATTGCTGCATCCTTGTAAGAACAAGATCCTTATTCCATACACAGACAAATTTCTAGCCTGTGATATTTATGACAACACCTTGCAATGCTGCTAGTTACACCACTCTAGCATGTCACTAAATAACTTTGTGTTCAGCTCTCCTCTACATAGGCTTGTTTTTGAGATTTCATCCTCGCTCTCTTTATCTAGAAAATAAAATCAGTGGGTATTTGTAATTAAAGTAGGGAAACGGACATGGTGGTGCATACCTGAAATCCTAGCACTCAGGAGGTAGAGGGAGGAAGATCAGGAGTTCAAGACCAACCTGAGCTACATAGTGAGACCCTGTCTCAACACCTCCTTGTTCCTCTCAAAAAAGGGGGAAAAAAGTAATTTTCATACAAATAAAGCACTCAGAGTAAAATCGGTAGGTTTGCAAGTGAAAGGCATACAATAAGCTGCTGTATAATCATTGAAAATAGGTTGGCAAAGATACTTCTGTCTATGGAGCATCTGTTCCATTGAGGTCTATGAGAATTTGACTTAGCAGTAGCTTCTGCACATTGTGTTAAATTGACCAAAAATTTTACTGTCTTCCTTCATGTCAACAAGACTGATAAAGTAATAAGCTGTTCCTTTAAATTTATAGTCAGTTGACTAAAGAACAGCTTCCTGACTATTGTCTAAAAATGTAATCCTCTTTGTTTGGTTAAATGCTATAATCTGCAATGTGAGTCACCTCCTGACAGCCACCATCTGTAAGTGTCTGCACTCTGGGCAGTGTGTGTCCTGACGTCCATGGGTCTCTGATGGCACAGATGCAACTTGCAGACAATGGCTTATCTTTGGAATTCTTGTTTATACTCTTGTGAATATCTGGAGTCACAAGTAGATGTAGGTGGATGGACAGTGCCTTCCTCTGGGGGCTGATTATATGAAAGGTATCCTTTTTATTTCAATAGGTAGCATTGTTTGCCTTTGGGCATGAGTCCTATAACTACCTTGGTAAGCAAAATGTGGCACACTACACATGAAAGACTCAAGCACAAAGTCTTGCTCTTTGAGAACATACATTTTAAAATCAACTACAATTGAATATCAGACCTTGTATTTACAAGTCAAAGGAATGCAAGTGCCAGAAAAGCCGACCTTGGTTCTCTGTCTAGAAACAAACTTGTGCCAGATGGACCCCAACCATTGTAGTCCTATAAATGTATGTAATGCCAATTGTGCTACCAAGATTATTTGGCTTGTTAAAATTTCTTCTGAAGTTCTGATCTGGAGTTACTTTTGGAACAAACTCTATTAAAACAGGCAATTACCTAAGAGAGTTGAGGAACATTTATGAAAAAAAGGGAAAGAGTTGACAGTATGCATATACAATGCTGAACCTTTGATCCATGACTGCAAAGGAGTATTTAGTACAGGAGGTTTTGTATACACATTCTCCTTAATATTTCTGAATATTTCCCAAAGTTTTAAATCTCTTTTCCTTATCTGAGAATTAGGATATCTCATGATTACAAAGGCACACATATGGATAAACAAATTCCTGTAAGAGCCTTTTGGAGCAACTTTTGCGATACAAAGTTATCAAATTGAGAAGTAGTAAAGAAAGAATATGTTGGATAAGCTGCTCTTATTTAAAATGAGTACTCTTAGAAGTCATTAAGTCAAGGATCTGGAGACTAGTTATGTCATGAGCAAGATAATGTTCTGGTTCTAGAGACACAATTACATCTTGACTATCAAGGAAACCTGCCTGGTCAGGTCTTGACTAAGATATCATCCCCCCATGTTGTGCCACTGTGTGGAAGAACAGGAGTTACAGAGATACTGCCAGAAGGGAGGAACCACTACAGATGAGAAGACAAAAAATCACAGTAATTATAGCAATACAAATGAGTTAGTGTTTTGCAAACAAATATTAGAGAGAGACTACAAAGTGTGAAAAGGCAGAGATATAATAAGATTTGAGAAATGGAGCATAAGATTGAAAACAGGTGTTAGACACAGAATTTCTGGTGCTGAAAACCAGAGGTAGGCAGAAGCATGCTTCTACGTTCTTGTACTTCAGAGATTCCAGAGTACTATGGCTAAAAAAGGATTGCAAATGAATGACGAAAACCAAGTGCTCAAGACATGGGGACAATGGAGTACTGAAACACACACAACCCAAAAGGTCTTTCAGTTATTAACATGAGCTGTACTTGGGTAAAGTGACATAGTTTTAATTTAAAGAAGATTAAAGGAACACATATACATACACACGTGCATACATGTAGTTTGGTATACATAGACCACATATATATGTATATGCACACACATATAAATTTTAATGTATTTTCATACTTGTAGAATATTTACATTTGGCACAATAAGTGGTAACCAAAATTAAATTTTTGTTCTTAAACTAATAGCCAAAAGGAGCTGAGAAGGAACAGTTGGGAAGCCATTAGCCATCCTTCCTTATTTGATCATCATAGATCCCCTTTACAGATCTCCTCTCTCTTGTTCAAGGGGACTGAGAAGTTCATGGATGGCACAGGGGTGCAAAAGACATACCTCACTGCCACAAGCAGTAGCAGGAAAAGGAGTTAAGTCCAGCGTGCCAACTTCCCATTTCGAAGATGAATTGTAAAATGTGTTGAGGGCATTAGCTATGAAATCATGATTTTGAGATCATGAAAGATGAGAAAGACTTATCCCAGCACCTATTTTATTTTTTTGTTTTTGCCAGCACTGGGATTTGAACTCAGGGCCTCATGCTTTTTATGCAGGTGCTTTTACCACTTGAGCCATTCCCCAGCCCAATGCCACCTATTTTAAATTTCAGCTATCTTCAGGCAAAGAATATTCACCTCAGAGTATGGCACAAACTAATAGAACTCTAGGGAAACCCATTTGCTTATATTAATTATGTTCTTGAGCAAGTAAATTAAAATCATAGAACAAAAAAGACAAAAAGAAACAATAAATCTATTTATCAAAGAACTGGTATTTGAAAAAAGACCTAGCTTCATTGACCAAATTGGTCAAAGCAGTTTGCTCATGTAGAGTGGTCACCACCTTACATAACTAGTGTACAACTCTCTAGTTCTCTTTAGTGATAGTAAACTTGAAGCTTATTTTACTGTTTCTGAGATCATCAAGGAGGAAGGCCCATATTACAAAGGCACTAGAGAGCAAAGAGATATAAGGTCAACTTCTTGGGGGAGCAATCCTAAGGGTGTTGCAACTTGACCACTGGTTCAGGATAGTCCACTCCATCCCAGTGTGTGTGTGTTTAACAATTCATGCACGAACCTCATAATTTCTGGGTATCACATCTCAATTGCAGTTTTGCTCACTTCTATTCCAACCAGTTTTCTTTTATACTCGGATCCATATTCTGGTCCTTGTTGTCATGCTTCCTTTCTGAAATCTCAATCTTAGGTTTCTGGCTCTGATCACATGATCTCTTTCTAATTTTTCACTCATCTTTCTCTATTACATATTGTCTACTCATTAACGCCTCCAGTTGTTTGCTTTGCTATGTTATTGCTATATGTGTGCCTACTTCTCTCTACATTTTCTTCCTTCCAGCTCAGACTCCATGACCCTCATCTCAACTCTTCCTTTGTTCCATTGGCACTCACCTGCTTCTTTCAGATAGAATTCTGAACCCTAGATCTCTAACTGTTCACATTTTCTGTTTATACCCGCAAAATGTCTCCTACTATCAAAATTCACAACATGGAAAACTATCACCAAATAATGTGTACTGGTGCTGACATACATTCACGCAATCATGATTTCCAGCTTCAACTGGGTCTCATACTCATGTCCATGCCAGTGTCTCCCTTATGCACCCGACAGCCCTTCCTATCCTTCACCCCTCTTCTGCAAGGTTCTGCCTTGAATCTACTCCTTTTTTTTTAGGAGATGACCATGTCTACCTTTCAGGGACCTTAGGGAACACATGCTCAACTTTCTGTTCCTCTTGCTAGATATTTATCTGCATTGACATCATTGCTTGTGTCCTGTTTTCTTATTTCAATAGAGAAAATATCTTTTCAAGTGACTTTTTATTTGTTCCCAGATTTCATCTATTTGTCCCCTTAGGACTCTTACTCTTTATTTCTTATCTCTCCAGATATTTTTATATGAACATCTAGTGAACACTTCTACATTCTGCACTAGACACTCAGATAAAAACTGGCATACTCTGTATACTTTATAAATGTATAACAACCTCATGTAATGTATCACTTTCTGAATCCATTTTACCTCTTCTCTCTCAACTTTTGTTCTTCACTGCATAAACTTCTCAAATCCTAGGAAAAGTTTCCCTCCATTCTATGCTGTATTCTAGCTCCAGTCCCCAGTTTCTCTCTACTACTGCGCTTTTTGAAAGAGTAATCACCACATTCTTTCTCCACTTTCTCACCTCCTACTCATCCTCAAGCCTTTTCTACTGAGACCATACTTACTGTGAAAGGAGAACCTTGTAATTATGAAATCCAATGGATAATTTTAAGTCTTGATCTCACTTGATGTCTGTCACATATTAAAGGTGTTCAAGCCTTTTGCCTTAAGCATGCCTCTCTTCTGACTTCCATAAAGTTTTTCCCCAAATGGAATCAGTTTGAAAACTTCTCTCTCATCCCTAAGTGGCTATTTCTTTCCCCGTCTCTGTTCTCATTCTTTTCTCTGAGCGACCTTATTCATTCCCATGGTTTGAACTATCACATACAAACCAATGATGTCTACTTTTCTGTCTCAGGCCACCTCTTGACCCTCAGCTTCATACCCTTATCTTAGGGCTCCTCTGAATAAGAATCCTTAGGTATTTATATAAACTAAAGTCTTCTTGGTCAACCCTAAATGTATTTCTCCTCTCATATTTCCTAACATGGTTCATTCAATCTTTATATCACCCTTTGTCCAATACTAAATTGAGTAATCAGCTTTGACTGCTAAAAGTTTCCACTAGATTGCAAAGAATGAATCCTACAATTGTTTGCTTTTCACATGTTAGGCAATTTTGTAAAGCGGCACTTTATATGATGTTTGATGTTTATATTTTAAATTTTAGCATCTAGGTTTCAATAGGCTCTTTAAAGAATATTTTTAATAAAGCATTTCAAATATTAATTGTAGGATGCTATGACTTTGATGTGGTCAACCTCTGAAAGATTAATAGCTTATTTCATTCAGGGTAAAAGGAGTAAAGTGTCTTTTGTTCTCTTATTGTCATGGCAAGGGTTGAGTCTTATCTGTCAGCTGCTCATCTGCACTGAACTTCTAAGGCTCTGCTAAGCTTTAGCATACTTAGGATGACTCATTTTCATCTTGAAATAATATATAGAGATTTTCTTCCTGAAACAGCTCAGATATATTTTTCTCTGCAAGTCTGTGATTCAGCTTGCTTACTGTTTTCTGAATCTTTGCTAATACTCACCCAGACGTGACAATCACAAAGAGCTGGTAAAAGAGAACATGGTTAGAGATTTCGTCATATTTACCTTCTAATTCTTTTGTTATCATCAGGCATATCAATATCCAGGTTGAACTGGTAATTAAAAAGTTCATTACCAAACAGATCATATTCCAAGTAGCAGCCAAGTTGAGCAAACTCCAGTAGCTTCTTCTTGTCAAATATAGACCTAGAGACAATAAGTCGGACATACTGTTATTCAGACCATATTCTTGCTAGATATGGTGATGAATGCCTATATCCCAGTGCTTGGGAGGGTAGGAGAGTCTCCAGTTCAAGTCCAGCCTGAGGTTTACAATGATCCTTGTCTCAAAAACTCAAACAAAAAATGTATTTTCTATATACACAGATTAGAAATTTTAATAGGCTATGTACTAGAATATAGTTTAAATCACCTAAAAGAGTTAAGTTGGTTCTTATTTATGTGACCATAAAATTGTAAGTTCAATTTGGTACTAGAAACAAGAGAACTTTCATATTCAAAAGGGAGCTTTCCATCCCAAAGTACTTGGGAACTTCAGACTTACTTCAGTTATGCTGCCATTACTCAAATACAATTTTCTCACTCTCCTTCAGATCTGTTTTTAGGCTACGTTTCACATTCATCTGAAAATCCTTCATGAGTTAAATTTTCATTCTTTAAGGACTGGTGTGAACTGTGGAAACTACCAAAAGACATTTGTCTGGTGAATTAGCTGAGTAATACTAATCTGGGTGAAACAGGAAGTTTGCTGTAAGGCAGCAGGGCAATTTTCTTGTGAAGACTGTAAAATGATTCCAAAATTAATTTCAAAGCCTATGTGAATATCATTCCAACTTTGTTATTCAAAAAGAGACACTACTCATACAGATGAGTGTATTTTTAAAATAAAATTTCTTTTTTTATGGATGGTTCTTCATTTCAACAGGTATCATTTAAGAATATCACTATTTTAGGATTAAGAATATCACTATTTTAGTTTTAACTGGGAAAGAGAGAAATGTAAGATAATATAGACTGGGGAATAGAGTATGGAGCAAGAGTAGGTAATCTCAATAAATTTAAATTGTAACAACTAAAAAAGGATGCATTAAGGTAACACACAATACCATTATAGACATTGAATCAGAAAGAGAAATAAGAAAAAATAGAAACATCTTACCAGAACACAATATGGGAAAAGTACCCCATCAGCTATCGAGTGCAGGGAGTTAAGGATCTAGAGAAAAAAGTGATTGTTTGGGATCCAAAATTGGCCTGAGAAGAGTCAAGAATGTTAGACAACCATTGTCTTACTAGGCTTTTATCCACATGGATATTCTTTACTTTGGTAACTTCAGGATGCAAGAGATTAAAGCACTAGTATATGTATCTAAATTTGCTTCTAAGAAGTCATAAGTATCTCCAAAGTCTTTCTCCCAAACCTTGGGAGGACCAAATAAGCTCCCATGTGTCACTGGTGCAAGAGGTGACTGCTTCCCTGGGATACTTCCTGGGAGTCCACTATTGACTTTTACTGAGTAGTCATATTATGGCTGGCTCCTTTATCTTCTGTTCACCAATTTAGCATAACTTACTGTTTACTTGCTTTAGGCAAGGAGGCTAAAAACAGGCATTAGTGTTGTGCTGTCATCTATTAATACTACTCCTTTTCCATCTTCTTACCATGGAGACCAGCTTTTGCTTCCAAAATTACTAAGCTAAAAGAATATGTGATTTTCTATAGTAAACATATTCTGTTTCTCCAAAGAACCATGCTTAAAAACAAAATATACACAATTAAAATAACATAAGGGAGAAGAGATAAGTTGAATATTCTCCCTTTTGAGTCAATTTGATTTGTTAATTATCTAGTATGAGCAAGGTACTGGGTGAGGGAAGCCAGGAAGGGATGGAGGTACCAATAGGTTGGATTAGACTTTTATTTCTACTTCTAATATTTTTCCCTTCTTTTGGCCTAATGCCTTGAAACTAAGTATTCTAAATTTTAAGTGACATATTGAGTCATACACTTAGTTAAAAGTTCATAGCAGATGTAAAGTCATAGGAAAATTTTTAGTCTTCATTCCAGTTGAAAATTATGTAAAGTTCTTTGGCATTGTCATAATAGCTGATAATTATAAGAACTTCTGTGTCTGGTATTATATTATGCTTTATATTTATTATTTCACTTAATTCTCTCTATAATCCTACTGGCTCTCATTTTACAGATGAAGAATAAGAACATGAGAGATTAGGTACTCACTCAAGTTGATGTGCTACAATTTAAATTAATTTCAAGGCTAGATCCTACTCTCAATCATCATACTATATGTCTTCTATTGCCAAATACCTTTTATTTAATGGACATCCAGAATTACATAGATGAAATGTATACACAGCGTATTTTAATTTTAACTTAAAATTTGATTTCCTCCCTCCACAGTACCCTGAAAATTGGGATTTACCATCATAGATTAGCATGGCGGTATGGAAGTGAAAACCCCAAAAGGCAAGAAAGGATTAGCTTATACAGATTTTTAATTTCTTTCTTACTATGAGCTTCACAATGCACTAAGCCCCTTATAAATATTGAGACACAGAGGCATCTTCTACCACCAGATCAAACCAGCTACCTGCTTGTGATCTCCACTTGGATGCTCAAGCTTTCCATGTCCCAAACTGAATCCTTCATCTGTCACTCAAATTGGGTGCTCCCCACACCATTCCTCGCCTCAATTAATAATGATGCTGATTTGGTTTGGATACGTGTTGAAGGCTCATGTGATAAATGCTTGGTTCTCAGTCCATAACAGTACTGATGGATAGTGAAATCTTTAAGAGGTGAGGCCTAGTAAGAGGCCTTCCAGTCACTGGGAGCATGCTTGCAAAGCGGTTATTGGGACCTCAGCCCCTTCTTCTTCCTCTCTTTTATGTTCTGGCCAAGAGATGAATAGCTTTTCTCTGCCATATGCTCCCACCTTGATATGCAGTACACCACCACCAGAGGACTGACCATGGACTAAAACTCTATAAGTATGAGCCAAACTGAATCTTTCCTCTTTTTAAAGTTGATTTGTTTTGGGTATTTGCTACAGTTTTAGAAAGTTGACTAAAACTAATCCCATTTCCTCTGCTCAGGCCAAGATCCTTGTGCCCATTCTTCACTCTTTTCTCTTCTGACAGTCCACATTTAATCTGTCAGAATAGCCTTTTGGCTCAACCTTCAAAACAAAACCTGTGGAATCGCCTTCTTTCCTTGTCCAAATCACTGCAGTTTCGCATAAGATCTCTGCAATAGATTTGTAACTTCTCCCTCAACTTCTATCTTTATTCTGTTAGTTTGGTCTAAATACAGCAAGAAAAGTATAATCTCATACCTAAGTCTGATCAGACCTTTCATTTCTCTGTTCAAAAACCTACCAATGACTTCCCATCTCTCTCAGACTAAAAGTCAAGGCCTTACAGTGACCCACAATCCACAGGTGATCTCTTTCAATGTGGTCTTACAAAAGCTTCATCTGAAATGTTTGGGGACTATTGGGGTCCAATTGTCCACAATGGTATATAAATTTTACCTACACTGTAAATGGCTCAGTGTCCTCATAGCCCTACTTCCTCTTTCTAGAGGAAGACTAACACTGTCCAATGACATTCATCTACACAGGTAAGCTCTGGAAATTCTCACCCTGTAAGAAAGAACATACAAAGGACTGTGACTTTCAGAGAACTGATTTCTGTGTAAAATGTTCTTTAAAAATGTATAGTTACATGTAGAGAAGATTTCTTTAGAAGGAAATCAATTAAGTAGATACTTGTAACATTAAGAAAATGTAGTTGAAAAAGGAGACTGACAAATTTGCTATGATTATATGTCTATATCTGTATGTATACTTATATCATCTATGTCTCATATATACTATTTTTAACTGATATTTCATGATATGACCCCTATCGTGGATAACTAAGCATCAGTGTGAAGGCAACTAGGAAATGAATGAATATATAGTGTCCTTACTGGAGAAGGAAACACAGTGGACTTTGCCAGTTATCGTGAATATTTTTTAAAGGAAAGTCCTGGTTTAAAACAATGAATTTGGTATTGAATATTAATAAGGGATAAAATGAGAAATTTAGGTAATGCCAGAAAACCAATACTTCACAATCAGGTTGTGTTAGTCCATTTTCATCACTGCACAAAATACCTGAGAAAATAACTTAAAAGGAAGTAAGATTTATTTTGGTTTATGGATTCAGAAGATGCAGTGCACTAGGTTCCCTGAGATTAAGTCAAATGTCATGATGGTACAGAGTACATGGTGGGGCAGAACTGCTCAATTCATGGCAGTTGGGAAACAGAGAGAGAGAGAAAGAGGAAGGGACCAAGGACAAGATAGACCCTTCAAATGCAGTTCTCCAGAGACTTCTTCCTCCAACCAGGCCCACCTCCTAATAGTCCATCTTTAAACTTATCAATGGTCTATTCAATTGATGAGGTTAGCACTCTTGTGATCTGACCATCTCTCAATGGCTCCACCAACTGGGGACCAAGACTTCTATATATGAGCATTTTTGGAGAATACTTCATATTCAAACTGTAACATAAGTATTTAATAAAGCTTTTGCTTTTTATAAACATTAACATGAACAAAGCATGATCATCCCCATTTCACAGATGAGAAAACTAAGGCTCAGAAAAAGCAAGTAATTCAGCTTTCAAAATGAGAGTTTGTGCCAAAACCTAGACTGCTTTTGTGTTCAGAGGACATGTTCTTGGCTAGTCCCTTCCATGATGAAAGCCCCCCTATCAGAACAGCTCTATTCACCTCACCAGCTGTTAACTCTATGGAGAAATAGAGTCTATCACAATGACATCTAAGATCACCCTGTTCTGTGAATGTCAAGAAAGGTGACTTACCTAAGTGAAACTGACATTCATTTGGATGATTTCCAGGGATGGCCAATGTGCTACTAAAATTTTATTTATGCAAGTGATTATTTTTTCACTTGGAGAAAGGATTGACCCTTAATGTCAGTGTGGCTCCATGGGAAAATGCACTCTGTTTGATGTCCTTCAGATGAAGATAAAACAGAGGTCTCACCCCTTCCAGCCATGAATGACCTCACAGCACATTTCATAAAAGTAGAGGTGTTAACCTTAGCCAGTCTTTCTCATTCCATATTCTATATCAATGAATAATTCTATCCTT